CAGCGGCGGCGGGGCCCGAGGGGGCGAAGATCGACGCCAGTAAGAACGAGGAGGATGAAGGCCATTCAAACTCCTCCCCACGAAACACTGAAGTAGCGACGGCACAGCGGGAAGAATGGAAAATGTTTATAGGAGGCCTTAGCTGGGACACTACAAAGAAAGATCTGAAGGACTACTTTTCCAAATTTGGTGAAGTTGTAGACTGCACTCTGAAGTTAGATCCTATCACAGGGCGATCAAGGGGTTTTGGCTTTGTGCTATTTAAAGAGTCGGAGAGTGTAGATAAGGTCATGGATCAGAAAGAACATAAATTGAATGGGAAAGTCATTGATCCTAAAAGGGCCAAAGCCATGAAAACAAAAGAGCCCGTCAAAAAAATTTTTGTTGGTGGCCTTTCTCCAGATACACCAGAAGAAAAAATAAGAGAGTATTTTGGTGGTTTTGGTGAGGTGGAATCCATAGAGCTTCCCATGGACAACAAGACCAATAAGAGGCGTGGGTTCTGTTTTATTACCTTTAAGGAAGAGGAACCAGTGAAGAAGATAATGGAAAAGAAATACCACAATGTTGGTCTTAGTAAATGTGAAATAAAAGTAGCCATGTCGAAGGAACAGTATCAGCAACAGCAGCAGTGGGGATCTAGAGGAGGGTTTGCAGGAAGAGCTCGTGGAAGAGGTGGTGATCAGCAGAGTGGTTATGGGAAAGTATCCAGGCGAGGTGGTCATCAAAATAGCTACAAACCATACTAAATTATTCCATTTGCAACTTATCCCAACAGGTGGTGAAGCAGTATTTTCCAATTTGAAGATTCATTTGAAGGTGGCTCCTGCCACCTGCTAATAGCAGTTCAAACTAAATTTTTTCTATCAAGTTCCCGAATGGAAGTATGACGTTGGGTCCCTCTGAAGTTTAATTCTGAGTTCTCATTAAAAGAAATTTGCTTTCATTGTTTTATTTCTTAATTGCTATGCTTCAGTATCAATTTGTGTTTTATGCCCTCCCCAACCCCCCAGTATTGTAGAGCAAGTCTTGTGTTAAAAGCCCAGTGTGACAGTGTCATGATGTAGTAGTGTCTTACTGGTTTTTTAATAAATCCTTTTGTATAAAAAAAAGCCAAAAGTTAAAATTAAAAATAAAAAATAGAGCTTAAAATAAAGCCACATAAAAATAAAAAATACACAGAAAATCTTGATACTGTATGTTATTATGCTCTCTTTAAATTGTTTAAATGCTGAGAAAGGAGCAACAGCTGCTAAAAGATATTTGCTTATGAATGCTGCTGAATAAATCCAAGATAGGTATTTTGAAAATATCTTGACTTCAAAATTAAAGTCAAAAGGCATGGTACTTGGGAGAAGAGATGTTGTTTTGTTTCCATGGGGAAAATGAGAGGCTGTGGATTCATTCTGAGTTAAAAATAAAAATCAGGTTAGATCAAGGAAGACCACCTAAAAAATCTCTGGTAGGAACAGATGGCTTGGAGTTCTTCATCCAAAACAGACTTAAGACTGCTGCCTGAAATGATCAAGGCTCACAGGATACTCCAGTAAGTACTTGGTCATAATTCTAAATTTTCTTTAGGTACACATAAGATTATCAGCACCCCCAACTAGCCAGAAGTAGCCTAAAATACTATGCCAACATTCCCAAAAAAAGGACTTTGGATATTTTTTTTTGAAAAAAAAAGAGGGGGAAGTGGTATGGGAGAATTGTCTGTATTCTGTCAATCATGCTTTAAATAAATGCTGATTGGCCATGCAGGAAGTATAGGCAGGTCAACCAGACAGGAAGTAGAGGTGAGGCAATAAGAACAGGAGTATTCTGGAAAGAAGAAAGCTCTCTCCTCAGTTCTGCACAGACCATGGAAGAAACAAAAGGTGACCTGCCCTGCTGAGAAAGGTACTGAGTCATGTGGCTAACATAGATAATAAATAATGGGTTAATATAAGTGATAAGAGCTAATAAGAAGCCTGAGCTAATGGAACAACCAGTTTATATCCAATGTATACTTTCTGTGTGATTTTCTTTGGGACCTAACGACTGTGAAAACTGGATAGGACAGAAACCCCCAACAAGCCCGACCCACATGTTACATGGCTGAGACACTCAACCTTCACCTAGTTCCAGCATTGGGACTCCTTCCACTAAAAGGTGAATAAAATTTGTAGTAGATACTTCCTTTTGGTTTAAACCATGTTCTATGATGAGAAAGAATTACCTGTTAATTTAAGGAACAATTCCTAAAATAACAAGCCTTCCAAGATATTTTTAAAAATCCTTCAGTTTTATCAATGTTGAATTTAAAAATTTTATTTCTGCCTTAGTTCTTTAGAAATCTACAATAATGTATTTAATAGTTTTGATATTTTCTGTGAATTTGTCTTCACCATTAACATGTTGGCTTTTGCTTTAAAAGAGATGGCTAACTATAACCCTTAAATAATATTTATTTATTTTCTTTACTTTTGTAAAGATTTATTTTTATGTACATTTGCATTCATGTATATAAGTAAACTAAAAGTACACAGTACCTTTAGAGGGAATCAATCCCCCTCTATGTGGGTTCTGGGAACTGAACTTTCTGAGCCCTTTAGGTTTCATTTTTGGTGGGGCTGAGATAGCAGTTCACTTTGTGGCTCAAGCAGCCTTGGCCTCTGAAGTGCTGGGATTCTAAACATGTATCACCACACCTGGTTTGAAATAATTTCTAATACAAAAGGAAAATTGCCAACTTTAAAAACATCCTGCCTACCTTTTTTAATAAAATTATTCTATTATTTTAATTAAATCTCCCTCTCTCTCTCTCTCTCTCTCTCTCTCTCTCTCTCTCTCTCTCTGTGTGTGTGTGTGTGTGTGTGTGTGTGTGTGTGTGTGAGTGTGTTTTTCTGAGGCCAGAAGCATTAAATATCCCAAACTGGAGTCAGATGCACTTGGGAGCCACCTTGATGGGTGCTGAGAGCTGAACTTTTCTCAAAATAACATTTTTTTGATTCATTGTTAGCATGTTTCACTAACTAAAAATTTTGCAGAAAAGAAGACAAAGGAAAAAAGTAGAAAATGTAAGAAAGGCATTTATTATTCCTTTTAGTACAGTGCTTATTATTAAGATTGTATGTTAATATTTGTGTGTCCTAAAGATTTTATATATATATATATATGTATACATATATATCATACAATTCTGATTTAAAAGGCATCAGTCACACAAAGCATTGGCCCTTCTAGAACTGATGGGTTCTAGAAGGTTGATAGGTCTCCGGAACAAACAGTGGCTAAAGCACACAATGCTTAGGTGCATTCACTTTTCTTTAACTTTTGCATGAACTGTCTTAGGTAAGCTTTTCATCCCTGGAAAGACTCAACCCAGATCCATTTCACTTGTTACACTTGTCTGTGGATCCACACTCTATCCTTTATTATCACCTTTGGAGGGAATGACCCAGGTATAAGGAGAATAGAGTTGAAATTCTTCTTCTAGGAATGCACCCAATCATTAAAACAGAAACACACAAATAGCATCATCAACAACAAACAAATGAGTTTGACAATGTGATGGCTGTACTGACTGGATTTCAGCTGAGCATAGGCACTCAGTGTTGTTTCCAGGCTGCTGCTGGCATGTGACCTCTAGATTCCACAGCTATGATTGATTAACTCTTGAACTGAACCAAAATGAACCTTTTCCTCCTTAGGTGCATTGGTTGGGTATTTTTTTTATCATAACAACAGGATAAGTTAGGAAGAGAACATCCACATGCATAATTTTAGATAAAAATACATATACTCAATTAAAATGGAAAAACCCAACTAATAAAATACAAATTTTGAAAAATATTTCAAAAAGTCTCCATCCCCCAAATACACTTATATGAAAATTACATGAATTATCACAAGGGTTTCAGAATGAGAAATCTAGTATTTATTGAATGACTCCTATTTTAGAGGACCACACACTTTGTAAAAATTAACCTTAGACTGTGGGGACTGGAACAATGGCTATGTGGTTAAGAGCACTGGCTGCTCTTCCAGAGGACCTGGGTTCAATTCCCGGCACCCATGGGCAGGCTCACAATCATCTAACTCCCATCCGAGGGTATCTGACACTCTCTTTTAGCTGCATCAGGCACCAGGCACATCGGTGACACAAAGACATATGCAAGCAAAACATCCGTACACATAAAATTGGTAAATAACTTAAAAAGTAGCCTTAGATTGTAAATAGTCTTACCACAGAACAATAGTTTTCAGTGTAATGCAATGAGATCAAACAATGGAATACAAAACATATTTTTCCAAGTCAGTTTAGTTATTACATGATATTTAGACATTTTATTTTTTTTCACTTATTAAGCAGATCTGAACTCACATTCAACTGGGATAAGAATCTCAAGGGCCAATGTGTCAGTGGAAACAAAAATGTATGGTAACATTCAAAGGAATAATAATATTTTTAGATATATTTATTTATTTCACTGTATGTTATGTGTTTTGGGACATGCATACCACAGTATGGTCAGAGATTAACAAACAAATTTCAGGTAACTATTCTCTTCTTCAGTCTCATGGGATCTGGGAATTAAACTCAAGTCGTCAGGTATCAATGTCTAGTGCGTTGGGGTCCTTGGGTAAGGGTCTTGTGCAAATCAGGACACAGGAGATGCAGATTATGAACAACTGCATAACAAGCTTTATTTTTCATGACTTTTTATACAGACTAAAAAAAACATTACTTCAAACCCCCTTTTACCCACATAGATGATCAAAGAAATATAAAGTAAAAAAGCAAAAAGTATACAGAAGCAAAGCACTTCCTTATTCTATATTTGGTGGAGTATGATGAACTGAGCTCAAAAGCCACTTCCTAATCAAGGATAGACATTCTGACCAAATGTTGAGAATAGAGAAAAAAATATATGCTTTCATCTCTGCTTGGTATACCAAGCAGTCTTTTCCCAGCTTCGTCTCATCTGTCCCAGGAGGAGCCTGCACTCTAAGCCAGTTCTGTATCTCCATAATCCGGTTTGACAGCGAGTGTTTTTACCCATTGAGCCATCTCACTGGCCCCACAAAATAAATCTTAGTAACTCTTGCATTAAGGCTCAGATGACGTAAGAAGATTTTCTCTCCATTTCTTTCCTTGGAGAATTTGTATTTGGCATTCAGTAATGCTTCTTTAAGGCAAACCTTCTTTCTCTTTTTCATTAAAGAAGGCTTTTTACTCTTCAGCATGAGTTTTTTTTTCTTTTTTGTTTTAGGTTTTGCTTTTATGGATAAGGTTGCACTGTAGGCTAAGAGTTTAGAAACTCAAAATAATTCCTTAAAAATCTTTTTTTTTAAATTTCTGTGTGTGGAGGTCAGAGTTCACCCTGCAGGAATTGGCCATCTCCTTCTATCTTGTGGGATTCTGGGAATTAAGTTAAGGTCATCAGACTTGGCAGCAAGTACATGTTGAGCCATCTTGCAGAGCTATAGTTCAGTTGGAAAAGTGCTTGCTGTGATGCAAGGACCTGAGTCTGAGTACCATGACTCCTGTAAAATGCTGTATGTTGCAGTATACATCTGCAGTCAGTGTTGGATACCTGGAGCTTACCAGTCAGTCTAGCTGAATGGACACGCTCCAGGGTCAGAGACTGTACCTCAAACTAGGCGAGGAATAACTCAGAAAGCTACCCAGTGTTGACCAATGACCTATACAGAGCCCTCACCTATGACTCTGTTACCAATTTGATACTTCAACATCTATTTATAATATTTTTCTTTATTAACAAACTATATTTCAGATTCACAATTTTCTTTGAATCTTTCTTGTTCTTTATAAAGTGTATTACTGTGTGTGCCTTTGGATAGTCTCTTACCACCAACAACTTTTGTGACTGACTTTCTCATGGCAGAGGAGACTGTTTGGGTCATCTACTCTATCCTCTTAGTGGCAGCCGATTCAGTCACTTTCCTCACGACACCA